AATCTTCTTAGCGTTATTTTTAATTATTATTATTTAAAAGTTATTATTAGAAATATTACAAATACTAAGATATAGTATATAAAATGGTCCTCTTTTTTAATATATAATATATGAAAATTTTATATAATAATAAATACTAGTATTTAATCAATGATTTTTAAATGCTATATATCAAACATAAACGTCATAATATTTAACATACTATCCTTTAAATATTATATATATTAGATTTATTTCGACTATTAAACAGGCCCTAATACTATATACATATAAAAAATAGAAACTCTTACTTAATGAGATTCAATTTAAGCGATCTAATCAATCAAAATGAATTTTAACTTTATTAATATCATAGTATAATATAATATCTAAAAAAATTTATCATTTTTTAAATAAAACTATTTTTATTAAATTAAATAAAGAATTAAAAAGTAATAATTATATAAAATAGATTAAAAGCATTTGAATGGGATAATTTTTATAATTATAATTTCAAATATAGAACTAATATAAAGAATTAAAGTTTGTATATATTATTTTTAAGGCGAATTAATGATTTAATGATTTTCTTAATATTATTAATAGTATATATATAATATATACTATATATAAATACATATATATCTTAATATTAATCAACTTAATTAAACTAGGAATTTATTACTAGAATTATTATTATTATTATTATTATTATTATTATTATTATCAAAAATAATAATAAAAAGGATTAAAGAAGTTAAAAGAAGTTAAATTAACTTCGTCTATAAGCTCTCAATACAATTATTATTTAAAATTATATTTAAAAATCTATAACGTAACGTATGGGGAACTCGGACATATGGGGAACTCGGACACTTTTTCAATTATTCTACACGCGATCTTGTTCTACGAGCCACACAATCCTCCAATTCCAATTCCGAATCACTTGAACTATTCTCTAGCTCTTCTTCTTCAATCTCTTCTTCTGATTCTTCAATTGGGCGTTTGCGTGGCCGTCCTCGTGGCTTTTTCTCCTTCGGTTTTTCCTCCGCCTCACGTACCATTTTCAATACTTCCTTAGTACTAAAGACAAATTGACCTTGTAATTTGACTCTTTTGCCTTTAGTTCTTTTCTTTCGAGTCTCAATTACCTCCTGAGCATCAGAGAGCTGTTTCCGAAGTAGGGCTATCTCAGCATTTTGAGATTCTACAAGCCTAGTCATTCTCTTGGCATATCGACGAGTTGGCGATGCAGGAGAACCACTGCTTGCTAGAGCTGTATTAAAGATCTGATTTGCTTGCCTTAGTTCTGTTCCATCTGGAGGAGAACTCCTGAGTATAGACAAGTCTAGGTCTTGATTGGGGGTTCTCATTTGTGGAGTAGAAGGTTGCTGGGAGGAGTTAAATGGTAATGAATCGAGTACTTTTCGTGGGGCAAAAGGTACTAAACCAGCTCCTCTCCAGCCAGCTTTAATATTAGAAGAATTCAATGCTTTTTTTCTAATATTTTGAAAGAGTTCTACCCATTCAGCTCTTTGGATTCGCTTTACACCAGCTCGAGAATATCGATCGACCTCTAAAGCATGATATCGTTTCATTGGCCCATACACCGCAATATCAAGTGGCTGAAGCAAGTGAGAGCAATGAGGAGGTAATATAAGTAAATCAATATCATTATCTATACAGAAAGCAATAAAGCTACCTGTAATATGGCTTGAATGGCCATCCATGATCAAAAGTCGAGGTCGGTCACCTGACACTTTCTTGGATTCTGGTTCGAAAACCCTTTTTAACCATTCTAATCCATGGCTATTTGAGGTCCATCCATTTGTACTAGTAGAGAACTGCCAGCTTTGAGGTGTGTCCTTTGGAATCCATGCAGAATTCGTATTCTGAGCCTTGAAAATGACCATAGGTGATAGAGCATTTCCAGCTGCATTGACACATTCAAATGCAGTTATCCATTCTTGCTTGCCAGCTGTAACTTTCCAATTCGATTTCTGAGTAGAATCGACTATAATGCGCGTACTTTGAGTACTTCCAACTCCAAATCCGGTTTCATCCATATTATACATATCATCTAATTCATACTTTCGCTCAATGAGACGCGTGCGAAACGCGTCAAACCAAGCCTGAATATTCTCCGGAGTTGCTTCTTTAGCCCGATTAGACTCTAATTGACGTGAATAGCATGTTTTAAGTTCTGGATGTCGTTTTTGGAATCTATAGATCCATTCGTGGCCTATAGGTGGAATTTCTGTCGAGGTAGGATTTCGAGATGACGCGACCCGAACGCGTCGAAGACGAATTTCGTCGGCCATTTCCTTCACCAACATAGGTGTAGCAGGGAATCCAGTGATGGTAAGTCGTGAAATCCATCGTACAAGAGTATTTTCTTCTACGTTTGAAAGAATTTGAGCCATTTCGTGGGTTTGGGAACGTGTTTTCTTCCCAGCCAGCCTATCAGCTAGGGTAGACTTAGGGACTTCAAAATGCTCTGCAGCCTTTCTAATTGATTTAAATTCTTTCAATTGAAGTGAAATTATAGCCTTTTGAAGCTTCTCTTCAATTTGAGCAGATGTAGAAGGTGATTGGGTATGCATAATAAAAGTTATTGCGGTTTCAAGTTGGTGATGGGCTAAAAGTGTCCGAGTTCCCCATACGTTACGTTATATAATAATTATTATTATTAATACTGAGAGATATAATAAAAGCAAATCAGTATAGTTAGATAATCGAGAATAAGCTATAGTAATAATATATGGAATGAAAAGGATGAAACTATTTTCTTATTTTTAATAGTTTAAGAACAGATTTATTTCTTTAATTAATATATCGAAATTGATTTTTCTATGAATTAAACTATTAAACCTATATTTAATAGATGAACGAATAATGAGACAGGTTTAGAATAATTGAAATACTTTAATAAGTATATTAAAAATTAAAGAAAAAGCAAATATTAAATATTAGTACTAAATAGGTATAAAAATTATAAATAAATAGCTTTTCAAGTATACTATAAAGAGAATGATATTATATATTTATGTTTATTATTATATTCAAGTTATTTAATTCAATTATTTAATATTAATTATTTTAACAATCCAAAATGTTTATATAATAATTAAATTAATAAATTTATTAAGGTAACTTATATATTAATTATATTTTAAAGAATGAATTCTTTATAGTTTTTAAAACTGTATATAAGGAATTAATTATTTTTTAGAATATAAAATCAGGATTTCAAGGAATAGGTTCAATCTTATTTAATTCTGAAACTATACTCTCGAAATTAAATATTCACATTTGTATACCTATCCTTTCTTCTTTCAAATTAGATTAATAAATCTTTTAAACCCTTTATAATACAATTAAAGCTCTTTTTCAATCAATATTAATTAAATTTTGAATAACTTATTATCAATTAAATTCATTTATATTTATATTTGAGATTGTATTAACTTTAATTAAAGATATAAAGTAATTGGCTTATAAAAATACACTTTTAAATATAAAGATTTATATACTTTAAATAACAAATAAAATATTAAATAAGTATTAATATATATAAGAAACCTAATTATATTAAGAAGGAGTGCTTATTAAATAAAAAGCTTTTAATATATTATCTTAATAAAAGATTAATATTCAGATTCAATATAATAAATATTAAAAAGAGAATAAATTTAATAAGGAAGTATCTTCTATTTAATATTGTAATAAATATAAAAAGACAAATTACAATATAAAAATCTATCAAAATAATATAATAGATTTTAAATTGTTAAATTCTAAATAGTTTTAATTAATTGATTTAATTGTTATTGAATAATATAGATTTGAAAGTGTAAATTGATGTAAAAGTGATATACACACTGATATAATGTATGTACTGATAAACTATATTAATATTTCGTTTGAGGTACAGAATCAATTAATCGAATTGATTCCATAGTTCCGATTGGATGTTCGGAATCTTCCATATGATATGTTTCCATACTCTTGAACCACCTTCTGATACGCGTGAAACCATACGCCAAGTCCTTCTTTTGCTGCCCCATGGAACCCCTCCGCCTGTCGTGAACATTGTGTAAATTGCTTCAGAGGTATCGTGATAATGCTACTTGTCGTTCGGCGTCTAGGATCTCAATTGAATCTGATCGCAAATCAGATAAATGCATAGTCGGACGGGTTTCATGCTTATCTTCTTTTGATGGCTATCCTGTTTCGGGGGGCCTATCGACAACTCGATTGATTTAATTTTCAATTTTTGATTGTTTAAAATCTCCAATTACATCTCTTCATCATCACAATTCGACAAATTGCGATTAATCTCCTAGCTTTCTAGTATTATTGCAATCAGAGATTTATACTCAGAGCCAACATACAGGCTTAGATCTCGACTTTGCTGGCCGTTTTCAATATCAGATAGAGGCCCTAAGATTGTGGGGAAATATTCGTGGTCGACTATCAAACGCTCAACTTGACAGCATCTGCGGTAACCTTCTTCCAATAAACTTTGGGTGCGAAACGCGGGGCTGAAATTCTCCAAGTATTACAAGACGGAGTTGAGAACACGAGAACAGGTGAGTTCCAGAGTTTCGGACCCTCAAAAAGTTTATTCTGACATCCGAAACACACTTGATATGTTGTTGTTTGAATAACGATCACCCCCTTGAGAGATTTGGATCTTCTGTTACGGACTACGCAGGTATGCAAATGCTAGAACGGGATTGTATTCAACGAGGAAGAAACTCATCCAAGGATAGCACCGATTATATACGCGTCTGGCTCTCTATTGTTCCATTTTCGCAAACCTTTCTAGAATTTCTAGAATGGTGTTTGCCGGGAGGGACCGCCTGAGTTTATACTGAAACATGGAAGAGCTCTGGATTAATGAGTTGGATTTTACTCCTTATAGCCTGACTATAAGATCAGAGGTTAATTCGTGAAGCGTAAACAGCAATTAAGATCACCTTCTCTATTTCTTCATTCGTTTACTTAATATATTTAACATGAGAACTACATTCGCTTCTGCACTCCTGGTGAGCGCCGTCACATTTCCTTCCCTCTCTTGCGCACAAAAGTTTGTTCAAGTCCCCATAGCGCGAGTCACCAATGGTGACACGTTCGTCGCAGCAGTCAATGTCGCCGTTGGCAACCCACCGCAAAATATGACCGCCATCTTGGACACAGGCAGCAGTGATTTCTGGGTACCAGCAAGTGGGAGCAAACTCTGCGCCGATCCAAAAAACCAGTGCATTGCATCCGACAAAAAGTTTTCCACAGGTTCCTTCGCTTCCAATAGCTCTACTACTTTTGTGGCAGGAAATCCGAATTTTTTTGCAATCTATACTGGCGGTGTGAATGTCACGGGGACATTTATGCAAGACTCGGTTCGTCTTGGAAATACTGAACTCAAGAATAATACCATGGGTTTGAGTACCCAGGGTTTCTTACCCAGCGCCCTCTTTCCAGTTATGGGCATTGGTTTTGCGACTCAAGAGTTCTCTGCGACGAAGCAGAGCCCAACGCCATATGAAAACCTCCCATTGGCTATGAAATCGGCAGGTTTGACCAATACCGCTGCCTATGGTATTTACCTCAACGATTTCAGTATGCATTTCCTATCCTTTACATATAAGAGATTTTACTAATATATATCCCAGGGTCTACTGAAGGTTCGATCATTTTTGGAGGTATGGATACCGCCAAGTTCACCGGCAACATGACCATGCTGCCCATACTCGAAAATTCCAATGGCCAAGCTACCGAATTCGTAATATCAGCTACTTCTCTTGCAATCACAGGAGGCTCCAACAATAAACGTGCCACCATGAATATATCTCTACCAAGCAGAAATACTCCCGTACTTTTGGATACCGGAAACCCTTCAATTGACGTCCCATTATCCGCCGTCGAAGCCATCGGCACCGCCCTCAACGCGAACCCAGGCCCAGACGGTTCAATGCAGGTCACCTGTAACATAGCCACCAAGGGCATGAACATGGTTTTCGGATTCTCAGATACCACGATCCAAGTCCCCATCGAGATGATGCTCACGCCTGCAAAAAACAAAGATGGCACGCAAGCAAAAGATAACAATGGCAACAACCTATGCATCGTTCCGGTGAACCCCACTGCGAATGAAGATGATCTTCTATCGTTCGGAGCCCCGTTTTTCTCGGCCGCTTATGCGGTAATGGATTTGCAGAATAAGAGGATTGGACTTGCGCAGGCGAAGGTTAATGCGACAGAGTCGAATGTTCAGGAGATTATGGCTGAGGGGGGGAATTCTTCGGTGGCGGTTCGCGCGGAGATTAGCTCTAGGGGGTGGAATAATCCTAGGAGACGTATAAATGGGGATCCATTGTGAGGATTCTAATATCATACGCTTCGAATCTTTTCAAAATTACCAGCAGGGTGAAAAGGACTGCTGTAAGTCGGATACCCTATTTTCGGGCCACCCCCCTTTTGAACCACTTTTTATACCAAAAATGGAATTTTTAATTTTCTTATTTATGAATAGAATTTATTGAAAATTTATATATATATAATTTAGATCATTTTTAGTTTAACTTAAAAATTTCAGATTTTTAGGAATTTTCTGTATTAAGATTTAAAACTTCAAAATATTGATTTTTAAATTTGTATGAGAATCACATACAAATTTGAAACTTTTATAAAATCTTTAATAACTTTTTAATAAAAATTATTAAAAATAAACTATAAAATTTTATTATAAATTTATAACATGTTTATTTTGAAGGATTCAGAAAAAAAAGAAAATTTCCTATAAATAGATATTTAAAAGAATACCTTCAAAATTATAGGGATTATTTATACTACTTCAAACTCATTATATACTATATCTTTATATTTGTTAATTTTTTTGAATTTTTTTTTGAATTTTTATATAAATTTAAGCTCAAAAGTTTCAAAAAGATATACAGTTTTCTTTTGATGATTATTATTAAAAATTTATTAAAGATTTTATAAAAGTTCTAAATTTATATGTGATTCTTATATAAATTAAAAAATCGATATTTTAAAGCTTTAGATCTCAATACAAAAAAATCCTAAAAATCTAAAATTTTCAGATTAAATTCAAAACGATCTGAATTATATATATACTAATTTTCAATAAATTTTATCCATAAATAAGAAAGTTAAAAATTCCATTTTTTGAGATTTTTAGTGGTAAAGAGTGGCCCAAAACAGGGGTGGCCCGAAAGTAGGGGTACCCGACTTAGTGCATCACCATGGTAGATCCAGCCGCGTTGAATGCGACAGTCTCACTCGTACCATAATAAAGAGCATTCAAAACGCTCAATTTTACAGGATACCCGAGTTTTAGATTTCTACCATAGTTAGATCAAGGATATATAAACCTCTAATAAGTCGCCACCACTCTCCTCAAGTTCTGTACCTAGTTCACAAAAAATAAATCATCAAACTACCTCCAAAAGTCTTACGTGAGTGGGTGACTCAATCTGCACAGTGAACTTTAATTTATTCCTCCTCTCTTTCTCTCAAACGAAAAACGATAAGTTTTCATATCCCACAGCTGGGAATGAGGGATATTTCTGGATGTGCAGACAGTGATAGGTTCTATGGGACTTGAGAAAAAGACGCGTATCTTGTTCTTAAGATTTTGGGGGATAAGTCGTGCTTGACTGATGTTGAGATTGTAAATAATGTGACCTGTGAACTTCAAACGCGTTTCTCAGAATCTCGACTCTTTCCCTTTTCCCCTTCTCTACTTACTTTCAATTTAATCACAAGAGCCTCCATCAAGAAGTCTCGAAACATATCTCCAAATCACACTATAAACTACAAACCATCCTATATCCAGAATCAAGAAAAGCACCAAGCCCTCGAAAGAGCCGTACGCGGCGCTTCACCCATACAATCGGAGATAATCCCCTCTTGAACCCAATCTACTAACACAGATCTCATGAACACATTTCATAACCTCCTCTCGTTAGGAATAAGAAAATTCATATTAAAATCCCTGACAATACTTGCAAGACTAACGCTAATATAATAGATGGTATTGAGGTGAAGTAGTTATATCATTGGTTTATTCGAGTTTAGACAAGTGAGAAGATACCTATGAGGATATCGATAATTGATATGAACATAACATTTTTCTAGAAGAAGGAAGTTAATTTGAGAAGAGGGAGGGGTGAGTAACTATACACTATAAAATGTGATGGGTAATTTATAAGTTATTGAGGAGTGGAATGTAAGTGGATGAGACATTTCATAAGGCAGAGCCGTGTATTTCCTATTCTATTTCTATTTCGGGAGTGCAATTTTGGAAGAAATGGAGCATCGTATGTCTACCCTCCATTCCCCTGATTTCTTCTCAAACTTCCAATCACATATAGTCCCATACTCCCGCAGGCATCATTATCAACCCTCCCCCCCACTACAAATCACACCTACCTACCTACCTACTTTCTCACACCCTTTCTCATCCACTCAAAACACATACACAATTTATCATATATATAGCACAAGTACGCCCCAAAGACTCACTTCTACCCAACACACCCCTTCCCTCCCCTCACCCCAAAGAAAGACTTCCCATCCTTACCATAACTTATCAGATCACAAAATGATCAGCTGCGTTCGCATCACAATCTATCAAATGGATGAAAACACATAAGCATACAAACATACAAATACACAGTATTCATGAGCAAAAAGATGAAAGAAACTCATTTAATATTATTCATCCAGACTTTCACAACGCTAAGAAAAGGCAGCAAGAAGCGGAGAGGGAAAGGAGATGCATGGCACCGCACTCTCCATCCTCTTGCTCTGCCAATTCTCAACCCAACCCACCTACCCCTACTCCTCTCTCGTATTCACAAACGGATAATTCCCAAAGGCTTCGCGCATTGCACCCCCCCTTAGCTCTACTCTCCGTCCAACCCTAGTCTCCCAAATTGCCCCCTCCCCACTCCACAATCCTCCATATTCTCTCAGCACAACTTTTCTCCCTTTCACCCACCCAATAACCATATCCGACTCTCGATATTTAAGCGCTATACCAAAGCCCACAAGTGATTGTCCACACTCATCAATCCAGCGCAAGAGGTATTCCGCCATCTACTTGACAAGATAGATTAATGCATAACATTCTATACGATGATCTATAAAGAAGAGGGGAAGAGGCCAATCGGGACTTAGTTGGAGGTCATGATAGGGGTATGGAAAGAGAAATGAAAGAAGACGGAAAGATGAGAGGGATGCGAAAGGAATAGATAAATGGAGAAGAAAGCTGATAAAGATAAATCTGAAGGTATGATTTTCATCACGCCATGTAAGTGCGACGTTGCGGTAGTGATCTAGGCAAGCTGCTGTCCGGACAAAATTAAGACTAGATGATTTGTATGAGCTTACTGGACCTTTGGTCTTCTAACACATATGATTTTTCCATATCGTAGGTGTAATCAATGCCAAAAGCCCTCTAGGAGGAAACCTAGCTACCTACAATATTTAATTGTCACCTGACCATCTGTAAACTACAGAGGAAAGCTATATAAACGATGTGTATCTCTAAAGGATACACACAAACCGCTCAAGATACATCTGATCAGTTTCTTATCGCTATAAAGTCCAACGCGAATGTATGTAGTCCATATGAAAGTAATATAAGTAATTCTTGGAAGAAAATTGCTTTGTGAAAATGCATACTAAGAAAGAGTAAGTTGATGGCAGTGAATTGGAATAGCTTCTCCAGAAAATTTCGGTAACATCATGATCCATACAATAGATCAAAAACATCAATTGTCAAGGTATGAACAAACTTTTACCTATCCATCCTCTTCATACAACAATAATGCCACGTGCTCATTGAAATGCACGCCAAATATGCGTTCATTGTTGGCTCTTTCGTTCTTGGTGCTCTTGCCCTGCCAATCGCTACCAAATACTTCGCATAGGCAACGTTTTCGATATACAACTAGGCTAGGCCTTTAACTGGCTTTTGTCGAGCGACGACGCGGCAGAAGTCTCACATAACGAGCCTGCCAAGATTTCGTATGACGAAGCCTTCAAAGTTGCATACGATGAAGCCGCCAAGGTCTCATATGACGAGCCTGGGAAATTCTCCGACAATGAGACAGTAGATGCCGCCTATGACGAAGCGGCGACTTTGGTCTACGATGAGCCAAAGTAAGTTATGATCAACCCGCGTCGGTCGCAGGCGACGTACATGTTTGTAAACAGATCTGCACCCCCGCCCAAGCTGCTACAAACTGACTCAAGAAACATCATAGAGATGTTCAAGACCTAATGATCTGATTCGGTGGGTTACAGAGACTGTGATGGGCGACCCAGTTGTTGAAAGGAATGAGAATCTCTCAAGGGAAAAGAAAGTATAAGACAGATGACATGCTGACATGAAGATCTATACATCAAAGTGGTTTTTAGGGAGAAAACACTTGTATGGTTGTCTCTTTTGTTTGAACTAGTGATTGGGATGCTGTGCGCTTCATGCATATGTCGTGGCAACAATGACCGATTGGATATGGTCTTCAAGTTGTCGATGCCTGAACCCGAGCAGATCGGGTTTGCTACTTCTGCACAAGATGAACCGAACTTCCAAAAACTCTATTGCAGGCGACTCTTCCACACTGCACCGACCAGGAAGGAAGACCTTAATCAGGATCGACTTTCACATTTGCGGTCGGATTATATCTTGTCCTAGCAAGCATCATGTGGGTATTGAGAATTATCTACAGCATGTGAAGCCGAAGTGACATCTGGTTCTAGTTTCATGGCAAGCTCCAACGACGTGGACAGTGGAGAATTCGTATTCTCTGCCCATCAATTTCGTGGGGTTTTGTGCTAGGATGAAAATTTGGACATGGTTTGGTGGTCAACGAAGATAACTTTGATGGTATTGTCAAGGCGGTATGAGACTAAGCCCAACGCGCGATGACGCCAATGGGAAATCCTCAGGGAGTTGATATTTTGGGATTGAGCTTTAATGTCGTTAGCTGTGTTGAATTGTTCCATAAAACGAAGAATTTAGTGATTGTGAGCGAGAAGGCTGTTCATGGTAAGCGATGCGAGTATTTCGTATACATCGGCTTGGAATATACGAATGATCAGCATTCGTCCCTGGACAAACAGATTATCGTTCGTAAAACTTTCGTATGTATTTTTGTCCCAACTCTGTGATGCATACAGCAATAGAAGGGGTTTGAAGATCTGCCGCTACCAAAGATGATAGATCGAGTCATCCATGCAGCCTGCGGCAGCGTTTGGTGATCTTCGTAAACTCTAATACGTGATATCAGTTTCCGTGTTACAAGATCATCAATACCTGCATTATCAGATAAATGCAATATAATACAA